GGGGGGGGGTCGTTTCATGAACGATTGTCGAGCTTGGACAGGGGACTGTTATTGCTGGTTCGACTGTTATATACTTATAAGATTATTATTATGGTCAAAGATAGCACTTCATTAGATGAGGACGGTCTGTTAAATTGTCGCTCTAATTTAAAAAAAAAGTTTTGTCCTTAATCCACTTGTATTTTGATATATCATATTAGTATGCTGTTACCTGTGCGTTAAAAGTAAAAGTTTTTTATTTTATTTCTCAAATAGGAGTTCTTTTTTAACAAGGTTTATTCCCAGTCTGCCACGCGCCTAACTGACTAAATTAGTATAACAAACGCGCTTTACATGAATGCTCTGGTGGGTAATATTTTTTTTTCGAACTTTTAAAAAGAATATTTTCGTTTTTAGTATTTCAGAAAAAAGAGGGAAGAAAGAACCGCCTTTGGGGTTGAATTCTTTGTTAATTTAGGGTTCCCATCGGCACAATCTAGTTTACTTGAAGGCGGGCTTTGATCCTACCTAACATGAACAGAGCTAACCCAGGGCTGAGAGGGATATAATATCCCAACAGAAAGACCGAGATACTCGATAAAAATTATCCCTACTCTAACCCTCTCCTCTCCCACCGCCTCGAAAATCGAACCTGAATCTCTTGCGTTCGACGACAAAGAGCCTAACTGTTACGACAAAGACGCCGTTTGTTAAATCTATGCTATGATTACTATAGATTTATACTTTAAAATTTAGTCAACAGATCGTTTTCTTTCTCAAAATATTAAGCTATTTTTTCCCATCAGATTGATCTGCCACAACCCGAGGACTTAATGGTAACGCTACACCTTTCCTATTGATCGCGAAAGCTGAAGTAACTTTACATTCCCTAAATTATAATAGCTGATAAAACTAATCAAAGAGTGTCATCGAGTTCTGCCGTTTGTGATCATTACATGTTATTTGCTAATTTTTCATTTACCTCTTTTTTTAAAAAAAACATGCTAGCTACCTGCGGTACCTGGCGAAGTCTATAGGTTCTCTTCGTACTTGGGTGTTAGACGTCATCAGCTGTTCGTGATGCTATTATTATTAATATTAATATTGTTTGCGATTGATGGAGGTGGGGGTTACTTTCTGTCAGTGGTGAATTTAGCGAGGATATTGTGACTTCCAAAGCTTGAGTGTCTTTTTAAACGCAAATTTACATGCTGTTCGTGCCTTTGATTAACAGTAGTCAGTAAAATTCACACAGAAATACGGTATTAAATGGACATAATAATAGGCGTTGAGCCCAAAACAAAACAAAAATGGAAAGAAATCGCCAAACGGGCGGAAAAATATGTCGGTCTCTTCGAATTCTTTATTTTGACGAGCACCTGATTTCACCCCGATCACGATGCCACACATACGATCGATGTCGTTCTCCGTTGTGGTAGAGAGGGATAGGCAGAATGAGGTGTGGAGAGGAGGACATATTGGAAGAAAAGAAGGATAGATAAGAGGATAGATAGGAGGCTAAATAGAATGATAGATAGAAGGGTAGCTAGGACACACTATAGAAGGATAGATAAGGGGATAGAAAGAGGTATGGATAGCAGATTAGAAGGAGATAGAGTTATTGATTGTCGTTCTACGCCATGGTAGTGAGGGATAGATAAAAGGATAGATAGTAGAACATTTAATTGGATAGACAGAGGGATAGGAAAATGGATATAAATATACAGAAGGATAACTCGGCAGCCATTTTCTTATCAATAGAGAGAGAGAAGTATACATAACGGGATAGATAGAGGTTTACTCCCACACACACACACACA